AAAAAAAAAAAAGTAACTTTGTTTATCTTCTTTTGGTGTAGATTGGAAGTTGAAAATTTTGTTGGGTTGACTGCAGATATAAAATATATGTAGAAGGATGGGCATGGTCAGTGAGTGAAAAATACATTTTGGCCTGCGATTCACCAACATTGTACATAAAACCTCGTTACCATGATTTCTTCATGAGAGGGATGATTCCTCAGCAACATTATTGGCCTATTAGAGATAATGATAAATGTAGGTCCCTCAAGTTTGCTGTTCAATGGGGTAATAATAACATTGACAAGGTACAATTACTTGCGGATTTAATTAACTTATATGCGTTGACAATGTAAGTTTTTACGTGCACCTTCAGGCTACTAATTTCACTTATTATTGCCAAGTATGATTTAATCTGCAAAAAATTAATGTCAATCGATAAAACTTAAACTTTACTAATGACTCATTCTTTTGACATTTTTTTGTTATTGACAGGCAGAGGCGATAGGGAAGGCAGGAAGTAATTTTATTCACGAAGATATGAAGATGGAATATGTGTTTGATTACATGTTCCATTTACTGAATGAATATGCAAAGCTGCTCAAGTTTGAACCAGAAATTCCAGCAGAAGCAGTTGAAATATGTTCAGAATCATTGGCATGCACTTCAGAAGGTATTTGGAAAAAGTTCATGGAAGAAGGCTTAGAGAAATCTCCTAGTTATACAAATCCATGCACTCTTCCTCCACCTTATGAACCTCAAGAAATTAAATCTTTTGTTGAACAAAAGATAAAAGCCACGCAACAAGTGGAGGTTTGGGAGGATAAATATTGGAACAAGAAGCAATAGGGCGGGGTCGAGCGTTATCTCACTTGGTGAACTCCGTTTCCACAGTTGAGGTAGAGGGTTCAAATCCCGTTACTGGCGTAACATCCCTTTCTCCTTGACCCCGCACCTCCCCCGATGTAATAAACAAAATTTAAAAGGAAAAAAAAAAGTAACAGGGCCCTTTAAATTTTTGCAACTTAATTTCTTTCCTTTGCTTATGTATATTGATTGCAATTGTATTAGAAATTACCTCAATGTATTGTTATGTAGACCTTCTTCAACCTCTCATCATAATATAATATGAACTTCATAGTAGAGATTAGTAGCTTTTGATACAAACTCAAACACAAGCTCTATACGTGAGGGAGTTTTCTTTGGCTGCCTTTACATTATTCTCTCTTTTCTTTCTTATTATCTTTTCCTATTACTAATGTTCACATTTTATTGGTTAAAACGTGGATCTTGAAATATGGGAAACTACTGAACTAATTTAAGAACAAATTTTATTGAGATACCAAAGGGATTTCTTATTCCTTTCAATTTTAGGAGGTGCCAAAAAAGTTACCAAAGAGTTTGGCCACTTAAAATAGTTGTTTACCTCGAAAATACGAGTAACAATTAAACTTGATTTATGATTTTAAAGATATGTGATTAGTTCAATACTAATTAATAACCAAGAAATCTAACGTGTAAATGAAAGAAATAAGTAAAATCAAACCAGTGTGCAAGCCAGTCTCGACCTCGAGCTAAGGTGGCCTCGAGATAGGTCAAGAACAACAAAGTAAGAACAATAAAGTTAAAGGACAATTCTGACGAGCAATGAGCAAGAAAGTAAGAGAGTATATTCTTTTGCCAATGATTGATGATGGTTACAAAATGATTGGGGTCTTCTTCATATAATAGGGGAACCCTAAATAAGGTACATTTCTATTTACAGTAAAGAATCTTATTGAGACAGCTGTCTAACCACCTAGTACGGATTCATACATATCTATTCAAAAATTTACGCCATGATCTTGGGGACGTGGCAGGAATCTTGCTCATTCTGTTACGAACTTATAACGGAATTATCTCAGGGTTGATCACCCTGGGCCCCGACGTTCCTCGAACACTTAAATCTTCGACCCTCGTGTTCTACCTACGGGCTCAAACTCGGTCCATAGTGAGTCTATTCCTCGACGCGAACCTTCTGTTTCTTGTTGTGAGCCTTCGGGCCCACAAAATCGGGGGCACATAATTTTACCGTATACAAATAGTCCCCGCATTTCTCAGAGTAAAATGATAAGAAACGATTTGAACCTCGATTTTCCAGAGTGCCTAATAATGATGTCATTCCTGTACGCAGGAGCTCGAAGTGACCGAAACATCCCGTCGGTTCGCTTCCCCAAAACAAAAATGATTCTCCAGTGATGGTCAGCCACTAGCATCGTTGAACCTTCGTCGCCACCCTATAAATATAAGGTTTAAATCCTAGAGAAAGCTTTACTTCAATCTTCAAACCATCTCTTAAGCTTTTTCTATATCTCGTTCTTTCCATCTCTTTTCTCTCGTTATCCGCTACTCCCGTTCCCTTTAGTGTCAAAAAATACCAAACTCTGTCTATTTTCACTTCCTCTAACTCGAATCAATGGCGAAAACTTCAAAAACAGTTCCCCAAAAGGGGAAAGCTTCCTCCTCCTCTTCCCGGCCGGCCAAACTTGTGGCGCCGACCCTTCACAAGATCATTCCCGGCCCCTGTGTGATAAAGAAAGACTTCAATGTTGAGAATCCCCCGGCAATCCCTAGCCGATGCGAACACGTATCTCGATATATTAGCTGGATAACGAAGAAGCATCTCAAGGCCATGAAGAAAGACTGTGGCTAGGGGGACGAGGTCGTGGTACAGATCCCCGACCCCGAGGAGAGCATCACGACTCATGTGGAGGGGTTCTTAAGTGTTTACACTTACCCCTTCACACTGGGTCCCCTGGATCCAGTCGTGATTGACTTCTGTAAAAGATATGAAGTTACTCTCGGCCAGATCCATCCCTCTTTTTGGCGCATCATCATTATGCCGCGCTAGTTCTCTAGCAAGGTCGAGGGATTAGAGTTTACCCTCAACCACCTCATTCGACTGTTTCGGACTCAGCTCTTTCGAGGGTTGATCAAGCTTCAACGTCGATCAAGCAAAGCCTTCTTTGCTTCAACGACGAGGATAAGTACCGAGGTTGGATGAGTCAGTTCGTTCGAGTGAGGACATCGGACGTCATCCCTAAGGGAAAAATGTTGTTCCCGGAGAAATGGAATCCCAATCGTAAATGAAGTCCCTTTCCTAGTATCTTCTTATACTCTGTTCCTGCCTTTTGTAATGCCTTTACCTTTTTTGCAACTGAAGCTTGGATGCCCCATGCGATCCCTGACCTCGAGGACTGGTTCCAGAAACTGGCCGCGACCTCCTTGTATGACGAGCGCAAATAGCGTGACTTATCGAAGGGCAAATGGGAGGCCAAACACCATGGTAAGTTCTTCTCCTAGATTTTTTGATGCTTTCCTTTTATTGGAGATGTTGTCTCACTTATGCCCATTTATGCAGGCATTGGAGATGTCTCCGAAATGAGGCCAGCCCCACCCGGGAAATAGATTGAGTCCACGGTTCCCAAACCGGGAAAGATAGCAAAAGGAAAAGGGCTTCGAAACCCGAAGACCCCCAGGATAAGGAGGCCCATACTCGAAGGCCAAGGAGGAAACTTATTCATGTGGACGTAGATTTGGCCTACCAATTTCTTGATGATGAAGAGAACGAGGGTGAAGAATAGGCGTTGGTGACCCGAACTAGGAAACCGATCGAGGTCGCTAAGCCTTCCGAACCGAAGGCCTTGCCTCATGGTGAGGAAACTTCAAAGAAAGACTCGGGCAAGTACACAGGAGGGGGCAAGCGCCGAGAATCCCGAGGCTAATCAGAATGCCCCGAGTGAGGAGTTCGGGGCCATGACAATAGGTCACTCACTACTATATAAAGGACCTTTAGCGGCAATAAAAAACAGCATTGGCGGCAATAACAATAGCCGCTATATCATTTACCGGCAATTGATCTTTAGCCGGTGATGCCGGGGTCGGTAAAGCCTTTAGCGGCATTTATGGCAAAAGCTGGTAAAAGGTATGATTTATTGCCGCTAAAACTCATCTGCTTTAACGGCAATTGTTTGCGGAAATTATTATGGATGCTAAACCCATTCTAAAAACGACTAATAATGCTCCTTTAACGTCCATTTTTATAGCCGCTAAATTCAAAATATTTGTCGCTAAAAGTCCATACCTTTAGTGGTAATTGTTTTGTGGCAATTAAATTGGCAACAATATCTCTTCTAAAAACGTATTAGTATGCCCCTTTAGCGTCCATTTTAATGAATAGCAAAGTCAATTAAATTGCCGCTAAAAATCATCTTTAATAGCAATATAATGGTTACAATATCCCTGTATAAACGTCTTAATCCTGTTAAATTGGCACTAAAATTCACAAGCTATAACGGTAAGTTTAGCCACCATTAATAATAGCTACTACATTCGACCAAAAACTAATGCAAATAACAAAACATATTGATATTAATTCATAAAACTATAGTATATCTCGTTAAATCTTAACAAACAAAAGGAAGTACTAATCCAAAATATTAATATCACAAAACCTTAAAAAATAACTCATATTGTTTGAAGTAAATAGCTAATGTCACTATATAACTAATCTTAACGAATAACAATCTTCAAATAATCTCTGAAACTCTTCGTCATATTGAAATCTTCCACCCGCTAAATTATCGAACATTAGACTGTATGACCTGAAATTATAAAATAACTATGTCAATAGGAAGTAAATGTTGCCAAACAACAAAGCTGATAATAATTTGCGAGGTTATGAAACTAAAAGTCCATAACCAGAAAGGGACACAAACAAATATCTTTTAGTAAAGTAGGCCCACGAACCTATCTTGGCTCCAAATTACCTAGAATATAAGATTCAAAGGTCATCAAATGGCAAAAACTTATATGGTTAAATCTGTTCCAAAGAACCTCTGGCCAGTGGCAATTTAGCAAGGGACAACCATGCTCGACCAAATGTTTCAAAGAAAAATCTGGTGGAGGAGCTTACGGGCAAACATGCTCACAACTCTAATGTTTCAACACTGAGTGTATGCATAAAATCTAAGGAACTGTGGCATATTATGCTGCATTCTCAGTGTTCCAGTCCTATATGGAGCGTAAGGAACTCAGCTATGATACAAAACAATCAAGCATGCAGGAAGAACAACAGTTGTAACAACCAAATACTGCCCAACTTTGCACGCACAAGGCAGTTCTTTCTAAGAAGTCACAGGACATACAGGCTGGATAAAATGTAGCTGCTGGGCATCAACAACAGAAGAGATACATATAGAAGCAGCAATAAAAACGACATCACACCGTTGGGTAATGTCACGACCCGGATTTCCCACCATCGGAGTCGTGATGACGCCTACTCGTGGTAGCTAGGCAAGCCAACTTATTCACCTTTCCATCACTAAGCAATTATTTTTAACAGTTTATAGCATCAATATAGAACATGAAATTTACTAAGAACAATAGCGGAAGTCTGATTAATAACTACGAATCAAAACGCGGAACAGTCAATAATAACCTCTACCCAAGATTTGGGTCACATTACTCACGAACTACTAAGAATATACTAAATACAATGGTCTGAAAGAAATATATAAGCTGTTTGTCTCGAAAACAATGAGGCGAAAGTCTAAAAGAGAACATAAAGAAGAGACGCCGGGCCTGCGGACGCCTGCAAGGCTACCTCAGTCTCGTGAATATGAAAGCCTGCTCCCGTACTACTGCTGTTGCTGCTCCTCATAACCTGGACCTGTGCAAAAATGCACAGAAGTGTAGCATCAGCACAACCGACCCCATGTGCTGGTAAGTGTCTAGCCTAACCCCGGCGAAGTAGTGACGAGGCTAGACTGGACACCACATAAACCTGTGCAGTTATAAATATACAGTGGAAATCGAATACAAAGCAATTACCAATATGGGAGGGGAAACATGTTATGGGGAGTTCCAATAATAACAATAATCCAGAGTAACAAACTAAAGCAACTTAGAATTTATAGCGAGCAAGAATCTAATACCAACAATAAGCACATTTGTATCAATAACTGTTGCGGCATGCAACCCGGCACTTAATTACCATTGTTGCGGCGTGCAACCCGCTCCACAATATCATTGTTGCGGTCGTGCNGGCGCGCAACCCGATCCT